GTCAGACTGAGGTAGTTAATAGGTCTCTATCTACTATGCTTAGGGCAGTCTTAAAAGGTAATCATAAATATTGGGATGAGTATTTGCCTCATATTGAGTTTTCCTATAATAGGATAGTCCATAAGACTACCAATATTTCTCCTTTTGAGGCTGTGTATGGGTTTAATCCTTTGACTCCCTTAGACTTGATACCTCTTCCTAATGTTAATCATTTTATACATAAGGAAGGTACTTCAAGGGCTGATTTTGTTAGAAAATTGCATGAAAAGATTAAAACTCATATACAAATGCAAAATGAGAAATATGCTCAATCCAATAATAAAGGCAAAAGACCAATGATCTTCGAGGAAGGAGATTGGGTTTGGTTTCACCTTAGAAAAGAACGTTTTCCACATCAAAGGAAGTCCAAACTTAGTCCTAGAGGAGATGGTCCCTTTCAAGTTCTACAGCGTATCAATGATAACGCTGATAGGCTTGATTTACCCTCTGATTATGGAGTTACCCTACTTTTAATGTGAGTGATTTAAAACCTTTTGTAGGTGCTAGTGATATTGAGGATGAGTCTTTAGATTCGAGGATGAATCCTTTTCAAAAGGGAAGTAATGATGGAAGAGCATGGACTAAGGGTCCAACCACTAGAGTAATGGCTAGAAGACTACTTGAAGATTTGACTGCTTTAGAGCTTAGTGGGCCTAATGGGCTTGGTGGGCCCAAGGTGCTTTTTACTTGGGCTTTACTTGAATGACCACCACTTTATTGCATATTAGTAGAGTAGGAATTTACATTGTTTTGGTCTTGTATTATGAACCCTGGATTAGGATTTTTGGGCTTTAGGCTTATTGGGCCTAGTTTTGGGCTTCATGGGCCTTTAGGCTTTTGATATCCAATATTGGGCTCATTTTCATTCTTGTAATATTTCCTTTTCATTGTATTTGTTTGGCCATTATATTTCGGCCATTAGATTAGGATTATGCAAAGAAAGCATTAATAGGTGCATTAGATTTTATTAAAGAATATAAATATCAAATTATTTATGTCAACAATCTTTAATAATATGACAAAAACTTATTATATATGAAGATTATAATATTTTTTAAATTTTAAATTGATAAAACTTTTTATTTTTGTATGATAAATTTCAAGAGTCAATAAATTAATCAATAGTATTGAGATCACTTAGAGAAATTTGTGCGAATGTCATATTAAAACTCAGAAATAATGTTTTACGATTTTACTGGACAAAAGGAGAAGCAAAATAATAAGATTAGAATTAAACGTGAATTGACTAAAAAAGGAAACAAGGCTAAAAATTTAAAATAGAAAATTTTAAATTATAATATGTAAAAGAAATATATTTTTGTTATAACTTTTTATAAAACTTAATATATGTTTTTTAAATCAGTAAAGTAACTTGTATAGAACTTTTAAATCTAGAGATTTTGTTTTAATTAGCAAAGATAAAGATTTTTAATTTTTTAACTAAAAAAATAAAAAAAGTTACAATTTTTTTAAAAAAGTAACTAGAATGCAACAGTGTAGGGGTTAGTTGTTGACGAGGGGATTTAAGAATATATGTTGATTAGTCTTTAAGTGTAACATGTAGACGTGAACAGAGAGGGGGCGAATTGGTTTTATAGTATAATCGATGCATGTCATTACAATATTTTAGGGGTGGTGATTGCCCTCTACAACACTATCCTGTACAAAAACTTATTATTTTATTCATAAAAAAAAGTCTAGTTGTGCGTAGGGTGTTCACAAAACTATTTAAAACTAAACTTTTTAAATGACTAAACTAAACTAAATTAAAATAAATTAAATTATTTTTTAATAGTTTAAACCAAACTATTACTTTTAGTGTAGTTTATAAAGCTAAACTATTAAAATTAATAGTTCAATTCACTAAAATCAAATACAAGCACTGATTCACGGAGACTACAAGTTCGTCGTACGGACTCGCGGAAACGTAAGGTGTTCTGTTCGGACTGAAGCACTGAAGCACATTCACGGAAATCAAATGCCATGGTAACCAGTTAATATGAAGGAGTAGGAGATTTTTTAGGTAACAGTGCTCTCACACTCACAGGATGCAAATATTACCAATTGATTCTATTTCTATCTCATTACTAACAACATACCTTTATTATTTTCCAAAAGCAAATAATAAATTACATATCAGCATTAAAGCTAAGGGATTGATGTCAATGTAATATTTGTTTTGTATTTCAAATTATTTTAAATTTAATTTATAATTAATATCAATGATTTGGTAACTCAATTTAAAAATATTGATTTTAAATTTATTTTTCTAATGTAGTTTTATTTAGTTTATAATTAATAAATTTAATTTATAATTAATAATAATTTAATTTAATTGATATTATAGTTTAGTTCAAATTCTTAGAATTATAGTGTACTAATCTAGATAATAGTTTAATTTAGTTTAGTCAATATTTATTTTAGTTCAATTTAGTTTAATGAACTATTTATTATAATTTAGTTTAGTTTTCTTCTAGTTTAGTTTAGCAATTTGAACATCTCTAGTTGTGCGTAACAATTCTGTTTTGCAGTGGGACCTAAGTGTGAAAACAGTCACGGTGGTTTTCACCTAAAAAAATGCTGACGGTTGCTAATCAAGAATGGAAAAATCATTTGAATGAGTCTAGTATATATTTTTTATTAGTAGTTTATAAGTCTAATACATTGTGTTATTTGCAATATATCAACAATCAATAATTTTTTCTCTTCTAGTTTTACTTGAGTCACAACAAACTTTAAGAAAAGATATGATTGGTTATGAAATTTTGAAGGATGTTATATTATCAAATAACTACGTATTACCCTATCAACTTTCACCATCGTGTGAATGTAGTCCTCCTTTAAGTTTGAAAGTTGTTACTGGAAAATTAAGCCATCATAATAAAAGTAAATTGGAATATAGATGGAGCTCTAACTCAATATCAACAATAAGTTAAAGTTTTAGAAACTTTTTCGGTTGCTATTGAGATTATTGTTGTCAATTTAAAAAAAATATATATATAAATTAATGAAGAGAAGAAAAAGAAACAAAGAGAAAAGAAGTAATATCTGAAATGCTATAAAGTAAATTCTAAATATAGATGATATAACTCATTTTATGGTAGCTTATTTGTTTGATACTAATGTAAAGAAAGATATTTTCTTGAAGATATACAACATTCATCTTGAATAAACTTAAGTTAACTGATATATTGACCATCTTTTATAAAAACAATTCTTTTTTACATTTTGATTTTGTTGAATTATATTCCTTTGAGTGTTATTTTGTTTGTACTTTTATTCATCATTTTCTTCTTTTTTATTGTTAGTAGTCTCATTTTTCATATATATTTGATGTCATGTCTAAACATGTATGACGATAATGACATGGCAAAAAAAAAAAGAGAAGAAATTAATGATGGAGAAATAAAAGAAGAAATGGATGATAAGGATATAGATGATGAAGAAATTGATGCCAAAAAAATATAAACAAAGAAAAAAATAGGTGAAGTAATATAAATGTACGTGACGGCAATTTTTGCATTAATGATTGTGCTAAATCAATATCTAATAATCATGGATAATAAACATATTAAATGTTCATTAATTTGATGACTAATTTTGTAATGATATAACTTGTCATTTGTCACCGCACAGATATAACATACAATAAATATTATACAAGTTTTCTACCCTAAGGTAGTCACATATAAACAGTGCATGGCATAAAAAATAAATAAATAAATAAATAAATAAATAAATAAATATATATATATATATATATATATTTATATATAACGTTGAATTCTTGGAAAAGAAAATTATTTCTATCTTTACACAGCAACCGAAGAGCAAGAGGAGAAACATGTTCTAATAAGTCATATATATCTAAAATTCTAAACTGGTGATATTATCATGAATGAATTTGCTGAGCAAACCATTTAAGTAAAGGCTAAAACAACTACTCCACTACTCCTGTCTGCTGACTACTTATATTTTGATATATTTTCACAATGCCAAGGGTATATGATTTTCATATATCCATGTTCATGTTCTGTAAGAATTCTTCCATGACTGTGACGGCACAAGAAGTTTCTGATACGGGCACTTCCAAATACATTTTAGCAAAGCCAGAATTCCCGATCAGTGGAATGTCAATAGTTCACGGTATTGGTGACATCTGGACTTCGAATATACATGTCTTTATATTGATATAATATTATTTATTTTAAACAAATTCTTATAATTTTACTTTTGATTATCTTTAAAAAAAATTAGATAAACATAAATTCTCATAATTTTACTTTTAATTATCTTTAAAAAAAATTCTTAATAATAAAAACTGTGTATATATAAATACTCGGCCATCCTCTACTTTAATTGTATCTCAACACAATCGGTATTCTCTATAATTCGCACATGAAGCTAAGAAAACCAGACTCTTGCAAAATATAGTGTGTACTGTGTTGTTAAGCTACTATTTTGTGCACTACTTAAATAAGTTCGGGATTTTAATCTTTCTTTTTGCTGCACGGTAAAGACAATTTCAGATTTAACTTTTATTTGAAGATTACTTTCTTTTACTGATATGAAGTTCGAACGTGAACAGTTGAACTAAAGTGTAGATATACTTGGCTACTAGTTCTCAATCCTTCATAATATGCTACAATTACATTCACGCAATCAGTTTTTGTAGAATCCAAATCTGACTAGATACCTTGGTAGAGTGACCTTAATGTAATGATAATTTTATTCTAGTGTTGGGTTTGCACGTAATCTACTTTATTACGTAAACCTTAATACAAACTTTGATTCGTGCAAAGAAATTGCTTCCATCAGGATTTCAGGATACACAAGCAAAAACATGACAAAAAGTGATAATTTTCTTTTATAACCATTTCTTTCAATTGAAGCTCTGCATTTTAAACCTCCACGTTCCTAGTTCCCTCTTCACTTTTTCCTATACTTAACAAAGACATCCGTAGTATATATTACGCGTTACAAGAAAGTATGAGAGCGGAATGAGTTTTTACAGCTACGAAATGTGTAACTGTTACTGTGTCATCATCTTCTGTTTATACCTGCTGCTTCATATTCAAGAACTGATAAAATTATGAAGCTTAATATTATGCAATGTATCCTACCAAAATCTAAAGCTAAAGCCTATGCCGGAAAAGTGAAATGTGAAGTGAGAAATCTAAGATACATGTTACTTTGATAAAAAGGGGCATTTATTCCGGTGGTCTTAAGCAACCTCCTGGAAGAAGGAACCTAAACTTATCTGCATTCTCTATCAAATATGCAGGAAGATGAACCGCAGAAGCTGAACGAGGTATTGACCCCATCTTTTTAATCAACTCCTGGAATGAGTACTCTTCGGGGAGCATATCAAAAAGATCATCACCCTTGCAAATGATGTTCTGAATTCTTGAATGACTCAGAAAAGATTTCCGTTTCACGCGATCTGCATGGCTATAGGCAGTCATCTTGAACACAAACTCTGAAATGTACTGAAAGCAAAAGCTGCAGTGCCACCCCGCATCTGAGAAGATTATATCTGTCTGGCGAGAGTGCCGGTATAGTGTCCGGGGACCATAGATATGAGCACTGGCGCGCCAGCTGCTATAGTCTACTGGGAACTCAAATGAGTACATGTAATGCCTCAGTTCAAGATGCATTATGGGAGGAATCTCATCACACCACTGAAGCAGTTTCAAAGTATGAGGACTTGGAATCTCATCTGTGTCTGACATGAGAAGAATGTCACCGTTGGCAATGCCTGCATGGCGTAACAACGCGTTCATAGCACCACGTTGTTTTGACTCAAGCACAAATGGGTCCTCATTAGATCCAGGGACTGCAACTCTGCCAGGATAAATGTCATGGACAATCTTTTGTTTGGCAAAGGAAAATCTTGCATGGTTTGAGGCAAAATAGAGGCGTTTTGGAATGCCGGTAAATGTAGTGTTGGACTCAAGGATCACAAACTTTGATACATAAGGATAAAGTTCGTGCCATCTAATATCTAGCATGTCTAACTCATGGCTGAAGATAATGGCATCAAAAATGCGGCGAGGCTGGGAGCGAAGGGACCAGCCATGAAGATGGCAAAGGTGGTCCATCGAGACATTTTCTGCATAATAGTGAGGTATGCTTGTGAAGGGGGCAGGGGGATTGTCCCACAGGGGTCGGAAGAAATAGGAAATCTTTTGGCCGTGGATGAAAATTCCAATCAAACAAATTGGCACTAGTAATAGAAGTAACGCAAAAAGGAACTTGGGAGGTTTTCGCCTAGCAATGAGGCGTGGCCGGGGAGCCATCCCATGAAGGGGAAACATTTAATATTCTCCACTGATTTCCCCAGTTTGATGATCAGATTCAGAAAGATCATGTTCACCTGTAGCAGTTTCAACAAAAGGGATTAGAAACAACAATAAAAAGTGAACATATTCCACAGAAAACCTTTCTCCACAGAAATGAATACTAAAGTTGAGAGAAAATGCAGTATAAGTCTCACAAAAAAGATGAAAACACTTGCAAGTGAGAATTTCTTAGCATGGACCTGGTACATGCAAATATAGCACAAAGCTACACATGGAATTCCAGGTAAACAAGGGATTTTTGAAACAAGTTATCGTAGTTGTTAACAGGAGATACCCAAATTTCCAAGCATACTCATGGTTGTTAAGTAGTCTCACATAGAAGTTATTTCAATACATTAAACTTCAGTACACTTTCTTAACATGCCTGACCAAAATAGAGTATATAAATGAGAGCAATCATCCCATTGCAAGTCGCAATGTTGGTTTTATAAGGTTGAATTTGACCTAATTCAACTTTCTAAGAAAATATGTAGACATTTATCACCAAAAAAGCAATTCTCAGGATGGATACGGTTAAACGAACTAGTTTCTGACTTTAAGAAAACAGAGCTATGAACAGGACGTTTGACACGAGAGTTGTCATATTAACTAAGCGGCCATAATTGACGAATCTAACATATGATCTAAATCTAACACTTATACCGCCAAAGCTAATAAATGATGAATCTAACTAAGCATAACTGTTTAAAGCAATGTCATTTTTTTTATCATTAAAGGAATGCCATTTAACCTAACACAAAGATTTCCATCTTTAATTGTTTTAAACAGCAATTAATAACCCGTTTGTAAACCCGGCTTAAATAACATAAGGGAACCGAATAGGAAACTAGGAATCAAGCTGTCTCTAAAACCGAACACAGAGAATCCAGAAGGAATCATTTCAACCGATTCTCGCCTTTCCGCAAATAAAAAGATAATCGAATCATTCACCCTTCTCAGAATCTCTTTAAAGAAAAAAACCGCAAAACCTCAAAGTTTCCGAAACCAGAGAAATAAAATAATAAATCCGCCTGTGAGTATTGTGAAGAGGGCATCTTGCCCCCTGACGGCAATGAAACATGGAAATTACAAAGATTAAAACAAAAGGGAAAAAAATGCGAGGCAGCTAGCAATTATGATATATCCATGAAAAAGGGGAGGAGAAAAAAGAAGGGTACCTTAGAGAAGTTGCAGATGGTGAGAAAGAGATTGGATTAGTTGGTTGAAATGGATGAGAAGAATCCATTGAGACTTGAGAGGGCGTGAAGTGCGGTAGAAGGGAGAGAGGATAAGAGGAAAAATAGGAGTTAATATCCTATTCTGAGTAGGAATTAGGAATGGGTTATCACTTATCAACAACCTTAACAACAACCAGATTATCACACTGATCTTCCCGACATATCAGTTGAATATGTGGTACAAGAGTGAAGTTGAGTTGGATTCTCATGCTTTTTAAGTGTAAGTAAAAGTTAATCTCATTGCCGACCTAAACCCAATACGAGGTTTGGAAGCGGTGAACATGACGTGGCCCTCTTTGCATTTTTTTAAGGCCTTGGTTTTACTTTTATTTGGGTTTTGGAAGGTGTCAAGTTGTTGCCTCCCTCTGCGGCAAAGGAGTAGCAAAAGGACGAATTGGGCGGGGTTTACAATCTCCTTGTTATTAAGTGTTTAAATTATACTTCTTTTATGTTCTGTCATTTATGGATTTCTTTGTTGCTTATTTCCTTACAGATATTTTCTGTATAGTATGTTACTATTTACTTGTATAAATTTTAACAATGTATTCATTAATATTCGTATTTTTCAATTATTAATATCATATATGAAAATATATAAATAAATAAAAAAGTTTGAGTAAAAGATGACACCCGTAAATATCGGATAGAAAATTAATGACATATTAAAAATTTTCAAACTAAACATTGACTTAAATGATTCTTGTCGTAATGAAGGTATATCTACTTTAATTTTGTTAATTGCTTTAAGACTTACATGGCATAATTGAGATGAAACCATATGCTTGTGTCATGCTAGTATTATTTTGTATGATTTCAGGTAGTCGTGTAGAGTAGCTTCGTACCATATAGTAGTAATCGTATATCATTCACTGCTACTGATTATTTATTAACTGTATTAATTGCGTTTGCATGCGATTCCCATATATAGTCAACATGGCGGCAAGTGGTCTTAGTCTTACGAGGTGAAGTTTAGTACTAATACGAGTATAAAATAAGTTAAAATATTTTATTTGTACCCACTTCTGTCGAGATATAAATATAAAAATTAATTTATACTAATTATGAAAATTAGTTAATTAATATTGTTTAATTTTATTTAAAAAATAATTTATTTTCTTCAACTATCCTTCATTTAAGTTTAATATCAAGAATGACAATGATCGTTTTTTATATAAGATTTATTTATATTTAAGATCAACATACTTTTTTTTTTTATATTCGATAATGGTGAGAGTATATTGATAAGAGTTAAAGTGAATAATAATATGACAAGAGTTAAAAATACGTATAAAAAATTCTAAATTCTTCTTGTTTTATAAAAAAAGAAAAATATTTTACGACTTCTATTTTGTTTTCTTTTGATCGTCAAATATCTATAGAAAAAAAGGTGATGAATTTTCTTATATATCTTGATCGTTAATTTAAATATAAATAATAAGTTGTTAATCTACATATTATGAAATTTTTGTGAATGAAAAAATATGTGATTAAAAAGATATATTTCAGTAAATATTATCAACCGGAATTTTTCAATAAAATTTAGTTATCAACAAAGTTGATAAATATTAAAATTTACGCCTTATGTACGCTAAAGGAAAAGAACGAAGAATAAACATTATATAATTTATTTTCACTTGTCTAATATCTAACTAACATGGGTATTTTTCATTTATTTATTGAAATAAAAGGATAAGTTAGTGTCTCCATATTTGGGAAACTTTTATCATTTTTCAAAAGACTGGACCATGTTTGTTTCTTTTACTTGACATTTCATACCCCAATGCCAATACTAGAAGGATCATGATATATATATATA